CCAGTATCCTGTCAAGTTCGCAGCGGCCGGCGAGATCCGAGAGATCCCGAGATCTGGACGGTCGGTTGCGGACGGGACCTGTGGCTGTTCTCCCTTTTCGGAACGCTCGCGGCCGGCTTATATACCCGGCTGTCACGTGTCGGTCGCGTGTGCAGGCTCCCCACCTCTGATGGCGTGGTGGGGTCGGATTCCCGTTATTGCTCGGTCACCCGCCGGAGATGCCCGAGCGATGGGAGGCCGGTTCGCGCACGTGGGAACGGAATGTGTTTCGTTACATTTTTAATCTTCACTTTTATAAAATTTTTTTTATGAGATTGTAATTTGGTAGTTATTGATATCAAATATTTTGTACAAGTCATATACATATGACTTGAAATGATCGAGTATTGAAATGTAATTTTTATGGAATCATAACTTGGCGCCAGTTTTTGATACATATGACTTGAAGTGATTGAGTAATGAAACGTAATTTTTATGAAATCATAACCTGGCGCCAGTTTTTAATATCAAACCTTTTATACAAATGATACATATTACTTTGGGCAAAATTACGTAATTTTTATGAGATTGTAACTTGGCGCCATTTATTGATTGATATCACTAGTACATATTACTAGTACATATCACTTTTTTAAAATTTAGTACAATAATTTTTTTGTTCAAGTAGCACATATTTAACGCCTTTTTCTTTTTTTAGAAAATTATTTTATAATATGTATTTTTTCTACAATATATATCACTTAATTTTTTTAAAGTTATTTTATTTTACTAACTACAAATTTTTGGCGCTAATTTTTGATAGCGAAACATTTGTACGGAGGACGCGTATACTTGGCGTTTTTTTTACCTCTTTTTTTAAAAAGGTAATATTGTATTTATTACAATTAACTCAATTACTAAAAATTAGATATTATTAAAGCAGATTGAAATTACATACGCGCCATCACTGAATTTTGAAATAAAAATTTGAATTAAAAATTCAGATTAATGTTGTCTTTCTTAGTGGAATTACGGATTCTGACGGATTACGTTTTATCAATTTTATTGAATCAATGTTTATGTAACTGAAACAAACTTAGATGTTAAAAAATATATATACGGTTTAGGCGGATTATTTTGAATATTATATATCCATACGGTTATTCGGATTTATTTGGATTGACAACGATATGGATTAGAATGTAATGATTTCAGATTGGAAATAATATAGAATGAAAATCCGCAAAAGTAATATTAAAACCAATTCGTTCGGAATTAAAACCGATTACTTTTTAATCCGGGCGCGGATTGAACCGATTAAAACCGATTAAAATCGATTAAAACAGATTATGTTTTAATCGGTTTTAATCGAACATTTTCAGCAGAGTAGGTCCACTCTTCGAAAAACTGAATCTTCGCGCAAGTATCGCCGCGCAACTTTTGTTTTGGGTTGAATGAAATGCAAGACGATAAGAACGTACATACATATATGTACAGACAATTTATAAGCAATTACATCAGAAATTTTCGTTAGTGATCTCTTACAAATAATTGTTATTAATAAAACGTTTTATTTGATTCACACATTGAATTTATCGATTTATTGTATCAAATCCATATTATTACTTATCTGTTTTATTACTTATGAGGCATTTTTTTCAATACGGAAGTCCTGGCTTTAACATGGTGGATGCTCACGTGATCCGGAAAAGGAGATCAAAGGTGCCGACACAAAGTGGACCTACTGGTTATACCCTTACGGAAAATAAGTATTTAGGTTCAATACTTAGTATTAAGATTATAATACTAAGTATTGAAAGTCAGTATTGGTGAATATTTAAGTATTGATGGAGGTTAAGTGTTGACAAATACTGAGTATTGAGAGTCAAATTGGTGAATATTAAGTATTAGAAATTAATATACATCAATACTTATGTATTTTATCTAGTTAAGTATTGATGAATATTGAGTATTGACAGTGAATATTAGTGAATACTTATAATTATTAGAGATTAGTATACATCAATACT